TACTTCTCCGCCACACACAGAAACATCAAATGAATCAAGTTATCCATAGCTTCCTTCACCGAGAGATATTCTTGGTAAACTGAGGTCCTGGCGTACCGATAACATGAATTAATCAATCAAAAAAAATTATTCATGACTATAGTGGTCCTTTTGTTATAACATCATATACACGCACAATATGTATATCTATAAAGGAAAATTGGTTGTGTATCATCGAAAGATCACGATCTCCGTAAAATACCATCGAAAGTTTGCGTCCTTGTAAAATACCACCAAAAGATTGAACCTGTGAACTGAAAATAGCATTCCGTTAAAATAAAGCGACACAAGTGACGGAACTAAAAGTGGCCACCGTCACGCCGTCACGCCCTTACGGGTTGTTCTCGTGGATGCTCGCCGCAAACAGGAACGGCTCCTGAGGCACCACCAGCACCACGTGCCACAGCTCCCGTGCTTGCGCACGTCCTTGCCGTCCCGGCTCTCGCCCCGCCCGGTCCTGCCCCGCGCCGACGCCTCTCTCCGATCCCGATCTGTGTGCCTGTAACCTGCGTGGGATGGAGGAGGAGGAGGGCCCCTGCAGTGGGACGTCCTCAACCACATTGGCGACATCAAGGCGCTCGGCAGTTGCGCCCTCGTCTCGCGCCGCTTCCACGCGCTCGTGCTGCTCGTCGACTCCGTCTTCGTCCGCATCGACTGCGTCATCCCGACGACCTGCTGCCCTCCTCCTCCTCCGTTGTACCGGGCTCCCCGCCGCACCAGGCGCTAGCTGCGGGCGCGGCGCGTTCATGCACATCGTGCGCGTCCTGGTCGGCGGCATCTCCACGCGCTCGGCCAGATCCTGTCCCCCCGCCGCAACAGGCGTCTCCTGGCGCTCTGAGCCACTGCCCGCGCCCGTCGCGAACGTCTCCCACCAGTCCACCACTCGCGCTCCGATGTGCTCCGCTCAGCTACGGCGCCTCCACATCGAGCTGGCACTGACGATGGCGTGATCCTAAAGTGGAAGACCGACTTCGGCTCCACCCTCGGCAGCTGCGTCATCCTCGGCGCCTCATCGGTCTCGTCCAAGCCGCCGACAGGGCCATGGTCCAACGGTGGCAAAGGCGATGCGCTGCTTCTAGGCGCCGGAACCTACTGTTGAACGTGTGTTTCTTCAACTTGGCAAGGACGCGTGCAGCGGTTCTACGAGCCCACGTCCTGGCGCGTGCTCCTATAGTCCTATCTGGCAAGGACGTGCACAAGCACAACCTGTGGGCGCTCCACATGGTGGCAGGGTGCCGCACGAGCTGTTCCTGTTCGCGGCGAGCATCCGCGACAACATCGCGTACGGGCACGACGGAGGATTCTGTCACCCGGTGACTTCATTTTAACAGAATGATACTCTTAGTTCACAGTTCAATTTTTCAGTGGTATTTTACGGAACGCCAAGCTTTCGGTGATATTTTACGGAGATCACGATCTTTGAATGCTACACAACCAATTTTTTCTTCCTATCTACGAAGATTAATACACTTGTAGAAGCACGGACTGTCTTTACAGTTCCACTGTTCACTGACAATAGCGTGATACGTTAAATTTTGAGGGGTGTTTGGTTGCCTCTTCTAAATTTTAGTCGCTATCCTATCGAATGTTTGGACACATGCTTGGAGTATTAAATATAGACTAATTATGAAACTAATTGCATAGTTTGCGACTAATTTACGAGACGAATCTTTTAAGCCTAATTAGTCTATGATTTGACAATGTGATGCTACAGTAACATGCGCTAATGACGGATTAATTAAGCTTAAAAAATTTATCTCGTGGAGTACTGACGGATTATGTAATTTATTTTTTTATTAGTATCCGAACACCCCATGCAACATCCTCCCGATATACTTCTAAATTTTAGTGACGGGATCCAAACACTACCTTAATTACCCTGTTCGCTTGTTGGTTTCAGCCACGCTTATTCAATCAGCCAACAGTATTTTCCTCCCACAACAAACCAGCACCAGGCAGCCCAAACTAGCCTAGAAACCAACTAGCGAATACGCCGAATATGATGTAGAAGCGTCTTGAGCAAGCATCTGTGTGCGTCCTGGACCTCATCAACTCTGATTGTACTTTACGCCCAGTTAATGAAAGCTCTCTTTACCCAAAAAAAAAACCCTAACATTATTTGATTCTTCAAAAACCAAAATTTTTTTTGGGGACCAAGTACGTGGTGGTGACCCATGCATGTTCCGTTCTTGCACTAAAATGACCGGTAGTTCTTAACTGCTTAGACTGTCTCCAATAACGAAGCGTAAACGCAAAATGCGTCTTCAACAGTGGTTTGCGTGGCCAAAAATCGAGTCCAACGGAAGACCCAAACAGGCGATCGATTTTGCGTACCAGCCGAAGGGAAAGGCAAATAAGCGTCTTCAGCAGCCAGACGACGCAAATATCTGCCGCAAGACGACGCAAGAGCTCTGCCGGTGCGGCCGCGAGATCCGCCGAGGGGCGAGCTCCGCCGGGCCACGGGCGCGAGATCGGCCGGGCCGGGGCGCGGGCACGAGCTCCGCCGAGCCGCGGGCGCGAGATCCGCCGGCGCGGGTGCGAGCTCCGCCGGGCCGCGGGGGCGAGCTGCGCCGAGCTGCGGGTGCGAGCTCGGCCGGGCCGCGATAGCGAGCTCCGTCGGCGCGGGGGCCATCGGCCGGATCCGGGAGAGGGAGGGTCGGGGAAGAAGAAGGAGAGGGAGGGGTGGCGGATCCGGGCGCCGCGCCAACGCCAGAGCGCGCCGTCGCCCCACGTCGTCGCCGTCGCCATGCCCTGCACGGCCGCGTGGGAGAGAGAGGAAGAGAGGACCGAAGATATTTTGCGTTCGCTATTGGAAACGGAAGAATTTAGGTAGCTCACTCGTTTACTGTGCCGTGACCCAAACGGTGAAATTTGGGTCGGCTCTATTGGAGATAGCCTTACAGAGGCTGGCGAAAAAGGACACCACCTCCACGAACTCACCGACGGCGCCGGAGTGGAGCACCACCGAGACGGGGAAGAGCTCGAGAGGACCTTATTTCATGGCGTCGTCGCCACCGCCGGACACCCAAACCTAGATATACTAGGACCTAATCTACACCGCACGGCAGAGAAGCACCGATCCCCTTCACATCCAACGCCGAAGCAGCCATTGGATGCGGAGAGGATCGGCGTTCTCGCCGGCGGGAGCACACGGAAACGAGATCACCTCCTTTTCGCCTCTTAACTGTAGCACCGAGGGAGTTCCAGAGAAGGGACCGCCCCTAGTGTGCCTTTGAGTGATGCAAAGACGCGGAACGGGAATAACGGAGAAGAAAAAGCTCTGGGAGACTGGAGACGGAGACACGGAGACGGAGACGGAGACGGAGACGGAGACCGAGACCGGAGACTTGGAGTGGAGGGTCTTCGTGGTGGCCACAGGACAGGGTCCCACAGATACGCGGTGAGGTGGGGGAAAGAGGCGGACGCGTGAGCGTGATGCGGCGCTGGCCACTAGCCAGGAATCAGATCCGCCAGCTCCCAGCAAGCAGCATGACACACCCCACTACCCCAGTCCCCAAACATACTAGTAGCGCAGGACAACCGAATCGACGGACGCACAGAGGCACCGGCGCACCGCGGAGGCGGCACGTTCTCCCCTCCCCCCACCGAGCTCCATCTGCCGGCGGGCGGCGGTCGGGCTCGGTGGCCGCACGCCGTCCCCGAGCTCCACGCGATCCAACTCGCTCGGCGGCGGCTCCTATTCCTCGGACCTCGGCGGCGTTAACAACTGCGCCTCCAAGATCCAACCGTACTCCAACGGTATGTAGGTGTGTACCGCTTTGTTATATATATATATATATATATATATATATGGCTCTCAGATTAAGTCTCTAGAAGCTACCAGAAGGCCGAAGCTAGCCACGAGCATGAGCTCGCCGCCAGGTTCGTGTGCGTGGTTCTGGTTCTAGACGAGACGACGGCCCTCTTGTTGCTAGTGCAGAGCAGTGCTGCTCCTCCGTATGTACTGCATCTGTTGCTTGCCTCCTTGCGTTGGCACAAGCCCACCAACAATTCAGTCCATGTTTAGCCTAGGAGCTTTGCTGTGGTACGAGCCGCTTATTTATGGTTAGAATCATCCGTTACTTCTTCTTATTGATCTGATTAGGAGAAAATATATAAAATATATATTTATTGAATTTTTAAATTTTGTAAAGTACACTGAATAACAAAAGTTAAAGATTTTTTTAGATCCAACTGATGTATACATGATATATTGGATGTGGTAATCTTTTTATTTTTTGTAACTTTAGATAGAACATAATTTAAACTATTTTTTTTTATTATGCATCTAACCGGCACACATGAAACTTTGGGTACATATCAGTGATACAGTGAACGTGCCCATTATAAAAAAAATGAACGTTCCAATAACTAACATAAATTTTATGTGCGTACATGAAATCCACATGGAGGAAAAGGAAGGATATCACACACACTGGCTTCTGTCTCTGTCGAGGGGATTGGGCAATATTTTTTTCTTTTCCTACGTTAATTAATTAATTAGGAAAAAAAATTAAATATCAAAGACTTAAATTTGTTTAATTAAGATATACCTCCTAGTATGTAAAGGGAGTACCATAGCATTGTCCGCTAGCCTATCATCTGGCTTAGCTCATTTATGTACTCGGTTCATTGTACAGCTCAACTTATAGCTCAAGTGTCCATGATAGATTTTATGTTTTGACAACCTTAATTAAGGGTTCTAATGCGATGATAGATGGTAATTACTAGAGTCTACGTTTCTATGATTTTTATTTATATTTATGAAGATCTTACATAAAGCCCTATGACTCAATTCAGAATCTACAAATTTGACAACCTTGATACTCCAACTATTTTTTTTCTTTCATTAGGGCATTAATTAGGCCAGCTTGAAGCTGACAACTTCTTCAAATTTTCTGCAAGTGATGTCCACACAAGATTGAAGAGTACGTCTTGAGAGAGCGCCAGCGAGCTGAGCCATGGAGTTCGCCATGGGGGCCATTGGCTCCTTCCTCCCCAAGCTCAGCGAGCTTCTTGGTGACGAGTACACGCTTCAGAAGAGCGTGAGGAGGGACTTCGAGTATCTCCAGAGGGAGCTGCAGAGCATGCACGCTGCCCTGAGCGTGGTGGCGGCGGTGCCCCGGGAGCAGCTCCAGGAGCTGGACAGGCTTTGGGCCAGTGATGTCAGGGAGCTGTCCCAGGACATAGAGGATGTTATTGACACCTTCCTCGTTCGCATCGAGGGCCCTGCATCTGAGCCTCAGCTAGCATCTAACCCCAAATGCTTCAAGGGCCTTCTAGTGAAGATGGCAGACCTGCGCAAGAAATTCTGGGCTCGCCATCAACTTGCCACCGCCATTAAAGACATCAAGGACCAGGTGCACGAAGTGGCCAACCGAGATGGAAGGTACAGGGGTCCTCATGGTGTGGTTGCTAGTCTAACTGCCGCTGCTACCACACGGGTAACGACCACCGTCGATCCTCGCCTGATAGCTTTGTATGGAGCCCAGAAAAACATTGTTGGCATTGCTGATGCAAAGGCTGAGGTTATGACGAAGCTCTTTAAAGGGGATGATGTATCCAGGAAACAACTCAAGATACTCTCGATCGTTGGATTTGGTGGATTGGGTAAGACAACTCTTGCTAATGCAGTTTATAGTGAGCTTTCAGGGCAATTCGATCGCAGGGCATTTGTGACAGTGTCTCGGAATCCTGATGTCAAAAAGGTCCTCAGGGATCTTCTGTATGAACTTGATAATCCAAAGTTTTGTGAATTGAGTGGAGCAACGCTGTTGGATGAAAGACAGCTCATCGATCAACTCAGAAATTCACTTCACACCATAAGGTATGGCATTTGTGTTAGATGCACACTTCTAGTGTAAGCATGTTATTTACTTTTAATTTAGATTTAAAAGTAATAGCGGTATGCAATTTAGAAACATATATAACATACTTAATAGTTATTGAATTATTTTCTATATTAGCTTATATTGATATTTAGACACATATTTGTTATAGTTTACTTATATAACACAGATGTGTGTTTTTAGACACAAATAGATGCAAATTTATGGGTTCATTTGCATTATCTTTAGTAAAACTGAGGTATATAATTTAGATGCAAATATAAGACCTTATATTAAATTATATTTCATAATAGCAGAGTAGGTAATTTAGATGCAAACTTGGGTTACTTTCAATGATATTTTAATTGGAGAGGTGGATAATTTAGATGCAAATTTAGGGAAGGGTAGATCACATATTCACACACTGTTGTATTTGTGGCCTTGCAATTCTTATACTTCGCTACTACCTTGTAGGTCTATTGGACTAAAGGAAAGCACATACTTAAAATTCTAGTACTAAAATTTACATCAACTTACTGGAGCAGTTATGATTATGTTATACTCTCTTCTGTTTTAGGATACTGCTAAGTTTAGATTTCAAAATTTGAAATGGAATACAACTATGTTTGAGTTCCCAAACCTAATTGAATAGGTGATTGGATGAAGACAACACTCACATCAATAAATGGTATCACACACACTTCCATTTAATTAATACATGCAAGGAATACAACTATGTTTGAGTTCCCAAACCTAATTGAATTGGTGAATGGATGAAGATAACACTCTACAAATCAATAAATGGTATCACACACATTTCCATTTAATTAAGGCAGGCACCATTTCCATACATAGATCACCCACATATGCAAGGATAAGTCTAATGAAGGTCATATTAGACCTTTTACCACTCTCCTTAATTTGTCTAAGAAAGTCTAAACATGTTCTCTTCTAGGAAAGCAAGAGTACCAAACAACCAGTTCATCGAAATTATGGGTTAGAGCTTTGAATGAATCAGCATCTGTATTCAACATAGAATTGAAGGGAACCAATCGTCCGGCCTTTTCTATGATGTAAAATGTTTTTTTAGCTGAGCTCTAATAGCATTCTAGTTCCTTATTTTGATTTGTTAAAATCACTACAAGAAAAATATTAGGATCATAGCTAAAATTAAAATATAGTACCACTAGCATCTAATACCATTTATGTAATTAAAAGATATGATACTTCTAAATCATAACTCTAGAACTAGCTTTCCTATCCCTGGTTCATTCATGATTTCTATTTTGTTGCTTAAATTGAATTTTCAGATCTTGTGTACCTTTGCGTCCCAATGCATTATGTGCGCACCAAAAATTTAAGCAAATAAGTGTCTTCTCAGTCCTATGAAGTTTATGAAAAGCATGGCTCAACACATCTAAACATCAGAAGTGTGCAATACCGTTTGAACTTTTACATCCTTATCTAGAAAAAAGTAGAAGTTTAGTGCTATAGGTGGTAGCAATTTTCAATCTCACCAACACAAATCCTAAACCCTTATTATTGTATACTGAGCACTCACAATGGAGCACTATCGACAAGTTGGTTTCCTGTGTTGTAGTGATTAATTAGGATTATAATGCCTAGTCGACAGGAAACTAATCAAACTCTCATGCATATTTTCTCTAATTAAACTCAAATTGAAGTTTTCTTAACAGCTATATTTTAGTTTGCATTTATTTCCTTAGATCATGACGCACCTAGCTAGTTGTTGATTTATTAATACCATTTTGCGTTGTATTGATATGTTGCTGGCACACCATATGGTGGTATATAGATATATTTATGGTTTACAAACTCATGGCTTTTCATGTGGATAGGTATTCCATCGTCATTGATGATCTATGGGACGTACAAGCATGGGAAACAATTAGATATGCTATGGCGGATAGTAATTGTGGAAGCAGAATAATCACTACAACACGAAATCTTGATGTCTCTAAAGCATGTTGCTCTTCTAACAATGATATAATTTACAACATGAAACCTCTCTCTGACGATGATTCCCGAATTCTCTTCTATAAAAGAATATTTCCAAGTGAGACTGGGTGTCCTCATGAATTGGAGCAAGTGTCCAGAGAGATCTTGAAGAAATGTGGTGGGATACCATTAGCCATCATAACTCTAGCTAGTCATTTGGCTGGTGATCAACATATAAAACCAAAGGATGAATGGGATGCTTTGCTCAACTCGATTGGACGTGGACTTACAAGAGGTGGGGGTGTGGAGGAAATGAGACGGATACTATCTCTTAGCTATTATGATATCCATTACAATTTGAAGACTTGTTTACTATATCTAAGTATATTTCCAGAAGACACTAAAATTAGTAAAGATAGATTGATCAGGAGATGGATAGCTGAAGGTTTTTTGCAAGGTGAAAATCATGGAACTAACCTAATTGATCTTGGAGAGAGTTACTTCAACACGCTCATAAATAGAAGCATGATCCAACCAGTAGGCATCAATGTTGAAGGCAGGGCAAGAGCCTGTCGTGTGCATGATATGATGCTTGATCTCATATGTGAGTTGTCAAGTGAAGAAAACTTTGTCACAATATTGGATGTTATCAAGGGAGGCACACCTTTTAGAAGAAAGATCCGCAGGATGTCCCTCCAAAAGAGCATTGCAGAGATCACCCCCACTCGGCTAGCTCACACAAGCAAGTTAGAACAAGTGAGGTCCTTTTCTGTTTTTAGTTCTGCTGCTAACCAGATGCTTCCACTTTCAAGATTTCAAGTTTTACGTGTATTGGATCTAGAAGGTTGTAATCTTCGGGGGAGTCATCATCATCTTAATCTTCAGAGCATCGGGAACTTACTACACTTGAGGTACCTAGGGCTGAGGGGTACATCGGCTCATGAGCTCCCTAGGGAAATTGGAAAGCTACAGTTTTTGCAAATACTAGATGTGCGAAAAACTTGGGTGAAGTTGCCATCGAGTGTTGTGTCTCTAGGGCATTTGATGTGCCTGTATGTTTCACCGGCTATACAAGTGCCAATAGGGTTGAGGAATCTGACATCCCTTGAAGAGCTGACCGGACTATCTGTGGGACGTTATTGTGTAGACATTGTGAAGGAGTTGGGCCATCTCACCAACCTAAGGACACTTGACATTTGTTGGGGAGGCTCGGAGAAAAAGGAAGATCATGAGGACCAAGCTTTGGTGGAGTCCCTGCACAATCTGCGCAACCTGTGGTCTCTCGAGATTCGTGGTATGGGTGAGCATGTCTATCTGAGTCAGGACTGGTTACCCCCTCCACACCTCCATACACTTGTGTTACGAGTATGGCTACAGAAACTACCAACATGGTTTGGTTCCTCGTCACTTCTTCCCCTCCTCTCCCACCTGCATATAAACATCCGTGAAGCGAGGCTGGAGGACATTCAGACCCTAGGGATGCTTCCAGCTCTCCGGGTTGTCTTCCTCAGGGCAAGTGTCAACCTTGCCACTGAACAGTGTGATGTGGAGAAGTTTGTGCTTAGCACTGATGCATTCCCTTGCGCAAGACAGTGCCATTTCCTTAATGTTACAATGGTGCCATCTAATTTTCCACAAGGAGCTATGCCTATGGTTCAGTCCCTTCGGTTCAGTTTCCGGGTGTTGGACATCCTAAGTGGGGACTTTGACTTGAGCATGAGGAACCTCCCTTCGCTAGAGGACATCTACATCGACTATGATATGAAGAAAGCCAGGCGTGAGGACCGTGAACGAGCCCAGGATATGATGAGCCGTGTGTTGAAGGAACATCCCAACCGTCCTTCGCCCTATCCCAGTTTTCATTGTGAGGAAGGTATAAATACTCATGCACGTGATCATGCATGCATCTTCTCTATTTCGTTTCCATAATACTTGTACTCATGTTGGACCATTTAGTTTTATGACCTTTTTTTGTTCTCTATTTTTTCTACTTCTATCTCTCGCTCTCGCTCTCTGAACACTCTTCTTTCTTTATTTCTAGAAGATTCAGATGGATCGGAAGAGTGAGCCCATCAGTGGCATCCTGCTCGCAGGTACTACTCCTGTAGTTTACTTTTTACTTATTCTTTTTCAACACCAGAACCACAAAGAATGATGCAATATGTTGAGTTGTACTTGATTTCCTTCTGTGTATATATGCCTGCCATTGCAGCTAGCAGGAGGTGATGTCGCTGGCACCAACAACGATTCTGGTGATTCGGTCATGCAAGAAGCCTCCACACCCCTCCTGCTTCTCCTGCATGTTGCGGTGATTTATCGTCCAGACGAAGTTGAAGATGATGCTCATCCTCTCCACGTATATTTTGGTGCTTCTTAATTGGTTCGCTGCTCCTTTATAGTGTAATCGGTTTGGGCTTCCGTCGTTGGTTCACGACCAGTTGAACTTAATTGGCTGCTAAACACTAGTCACTAGCTAGCTCACGATGGATGGATTCTCTATGTTGTTCCCTCACTTTTCAAATAAGAGCTATTATGATGTAACTCTTTGATTATTTCAATTCGTAAAGGGGCCATGCAAAATTCGAGAAATAACCCGTCAGTCTTAAAAGAAGTATTAGAAGATCGTGCATGGACAAATTTAGTGCGTACAAATGATCAAAACTATTTAAATTTGTGCTTCAACTATTTATTATTTATTCATTGTCAAACATGATACTGATATCGGTGCTTTGTGATCATTATCCGCTTGTGATAGTGTCGGGGTTGTAACCCCGGGGTGTCTCAAGGCACCGATTAGTTAGCAGGCCGCGCGACCCACAACACAATGGCTAACAAAGGCCCAAACGATCGAGGCCCAGCGAAAGCTGAGCGGAGCGGGCAAGGCTCCAAGGCTGGGGTCATCCCCAACCCCTTCCACCTGCCTTAGTCACACGACACTCGCAAGACGTACGACCTCTCCCTTTCACGACCCCCGAAAGGGATGGGGGAGGTCGAGCGCAGCTAGGCGCGTCTGCTCTAACAAGAGCAAGCATGCCACACTGACCCCACAAGGACTAAGAAGACAGCAGTCACCTCGGCCCGGTCAAAAGCCATCCCTGTGTCATGCCGCACCGATGAGACAACACCGCACCACGGTGGCAATGGGTACGACACCCACCATCCAAATACGGACCGACTAGACGCTTGTACGACCCCATCCACTACGGGATGGGATCCATGACAAGGGACTCGACAAAGAGGCCATCCAGACCGGTAGAGCATCCCGACCCCGACGATCGGGGTCATGGTTCTCAGTCCCATAAAGCCATCAGGCGAACGACGGCCCGAGGCGGTTACCTACTTCGGGTACGACGCCCCCGGAGATCAGGAGCGATGATGGAGGGTATGTCAGACACCGCGTTGCATAGGACGGCTGACGAATCATCATCGAGGCTGAAAGGATCAAGATGCCCAAGAGGGAGGTGAATTGGGCTAATTCTAAATTCTTTGCAATAATTAAGCCCTACACTTAGCCCACTTCACAACGTCTTTGAAACTTCCCTAGGTGTTGCCGCTTCTTGTAGATGTAGCATTTACAACCAAACACTCAGAAGAATGATACATCCGGCTTCTTCCCATTGTGCAACTCATAAGAGTATTGCTAAGAAACTTTTGAAGAAATAGGCGGTTGGATGCATAACATGCGGTGTTAATAGCTTCCGCCCATAGAGCTTCGGGTGTATTGTACTCATCAAGCATAGTTCTTGCAAGTGTGATAAGAGTTCGGTTCTTTCTCTCTACTGCACCATTTTGTTGAGGAGTATATGTTCAGAGACCTCATGCTTGATTCCAACTTCATCACAATATACTTCTATGTTTGTGTTGTCAAATTCTTTTCCACTGTCACTTCTTATCTTCTTGAGCTTCACTTCAAATTCATTTTGTGCTCTCTTAGCAAACTTCTTGAAACATGATGCCACTTCGGTTTTGTCATGAAGGAAGAATACCCAAGTATATCTAGAGTAATCATCAACTATCACAAGACAATAGAGATTTTCTCCCAAACTCTTGTAAGTTGTTGGTCCAAATAGATCCATATGAAGGAGCTCTAGCACTCTTGTTGTTGACATGTAAGCTTTTGTAGGATGAGTGTTTGCAACTTGCTTGCCGGCTTGACATGCACTACAAAGCTTGTCCTTCTCAAATTTCACATCCTTCAACCCTCTCACCAATTCATTCTTCATTAGCTTCTTGAGTGAGCTCATCCCAACATGAGCAAGTCTTTTATGCCATAGCCACCTAAGTGATGTTTTGGTGAATAGGCATGTCTTCAAGTTGGCATCTTCGGAGGTGAAATTCACTAGATATAGGTTGTTGTATCTAAAGCCCTTGAATATGACTTGATCATCATCTTTCTTTGATACAACCACTTTCTTCTCGGTAAACAAGCATTGAAAGCCAAGATCACATAATTGACCAACGGATAGCAAGTTGAAGCTCAATGAAACAACATATGGCACATTTGAAATTGAATGATCATTTGATATTGCCACTTTGCCCAATGCTTGAACTTTTCCCTCTGAATTGTCACCAAATATAATTCTTTCTTGACCATCAACTTCTTCATCTAGTGAGGTGAACATACGAGGATCACCGGTCATATGTTGAGTGCAACCACTATCAATAACCCAATGACTTCCACCGGTCTTGTAGTTCACCTACACACAAGAGATCAAGCTTGATGTTTAGGGACCCAAACTTGATGGGGGCCCTTGACCTTTTCAACAAGTGACTTTGCAACCTAAATTTTCTTAGGCCTATTCTTGTTGGGAGGACCTAAGAACATGACTTTTATTTTTCCACTAGAGTCATTTCTAAGCATGTAATGAGCATTGAAAGCAAAGGGTCTAACATGCTTGGGCAAGGGTTGTGGTGGTGGAGCTTGACACTCATGGACAAAGTGACCTTCTTGTCCACATTTAACACATCTCTTTGGCTTAGGCTTTGACTTGTGTTGTTGTTGGTGTTGTGCTTGAGCTTTCTACTCTTGATGTGCCAAATACCCTTTGTGTTGTTGTTGGTGTTGTGCTTGAGCTTTCTACTCTTGATGTGCCAAATACCCAATGCCACTTCTATCCATCTTCATTACGGTGTTCATGAGTAGCTCACTTTGAAGATATTGACCTCTTGTGAACTTGCTCAAGCCGGTCTTGAGATGTTCTTTTTCCAACTTGAGCTTCTTGTTCTCTTCTTTAAGTTCATCATGATTTTTCTCCATCTTGAGTCTTTTGTTTTCTTCTTTGAGCTTCTCATTCTCAAGAGCTATATCACAATCATGATCAAGGTTCTCTATCACAATAGTGTTGGTGGTTGATAGCTTTTCAAGATCTTTCTTAAGTTTTTCATTCTCATGCTTGAGCTTGACATACTCATCATAGTTGTCGGTCTCAACCACTTTCTTGCCTTTGCCACTAGATCCTTGCTCAATGCTCTCAACAATTAAGTCATCACATGATGTAGCTATATCAATCTTAACAACATGGTTAGTAGCATCATGTGGCTCATTGGATAATAACTCATGAGAGACAACAAGATTATCATGATTAACCTTGAGATTTGTGTACTCTTCTTTTAGCTTATTGTAGCTAGTGGTGAGCTCATTATGTATCCCCTCAAGTTTATCATATTTTTCTTTAAGCTCCTTTTTAAATGATTTGAGCTCCTTGAGTTTGGATGACATAGTTTTGTTTAATTCTCTAAGCGCAATACTAGCTTTTTTGTCATATTTAGCTAAGAGTGAGTCATTCTCAAGTTCTAGCTTTTCATTTTTAGCTCTTGTCTTTCTAATGATTTTAGTATATTGGTTTAGCAACTTGACAAGATCATCATACGAAGGTGATTCAAATTCATCATCACTATCACTATCATCATTGCTAGTATGATCATCACCACTACTATCATCATCATTTTGTACCTTTCGTTCACCCTTGGCCATAAGGCATAGGTGTGTAGAGGATGATGACGGTGGTGTCGGTGAGGATAGTGAAGAGTCAATTACAATAGCGGCCACCTTCTCGTTCACTTTCATCATCGGATGAGTAACTTGATGAATCAATATTCGTGAGCCAATCACCAACGATGTATGCCTTGCCATTCTTCTTCTTCTTGTGAAAATCCTTCTTCTTGCCATCCTTCTTCTTGTATGGCTTGTTTTTCTTCTTCTCATCATCATCTTCATCACTTGAGTTATCTTTCTTGCCCTTGTACTTCTTCTTGTACTTGTCTTTCTTGGGCTTGGGGCATTGATGAGCAAGATGACCAAGTTCTCTAGAATTATAGCCATCTATCTCGGAGATGGGTTTTCTTCTATTGCTAGTGAAGAATTTCTTCTTCTTGCCATCCAACTTGACACCGTTCTTGTTGAGCTTCTTAAGCATCTTGGTAGTTTTTCTCACCATGAGAGCAAGACTTGCATCATCAATTTCATCATCACTTGAGCTCTCATGATCAACTCTTGCTTTGCCCTTCTTCTCTTGGCTAGCCTTGAATGCCAAGTCTTTCTTCTTGGTAGAAGAAGAGCCATCTTGTGGTGTGATGTGCATATACATTTCATGTGCATTGATCTTTCCCAATATTTGAGTTGGTATAGCGGTGGAAAGATCACCTTGATGAAGCACGGTCATAATATGCCCATATTTGTCAATGGGGAGGACACTCAAGATCTTTCTTACAACATCGAATGGTTGCATTTGTGTGAGTCCAAGCCCATTGACTTCCTCTACAAGAACGTTCAAGCTTGAATACATCTCATTAGCACTTTCTTTAGGAAGCATCTCAAATGAATTAAGCTTTTTCATAACAAGATGATAACGTTCCTCACACTCACTCTTTATTCCCTCATAGAGCGCACAAATCTCCGACCATAGTGTATGGGCGTCCTTGTGGTTCTGCACATGGTTAAAAACATCTTTGCAAAGGCCTCTAAAGATGGTGTTTCTAGCCTTTGCATTCCATTTCTCGTAATTAACTTCATCGCCTTGAAGGTTTGTGGGATCCTTAGATTTTAGAAAGCCTTGTGAGGCGGCTCTAAGAATTCCAACATCTAAAGCTTCTAAATAAGCCTCCATGCAGATTTTCCAATAAGGAAAATCATCTCCCTCAAAGATAGGAGGAGGTCCATCCCTATGGGACATCTTTCTCTAGGCGGTTAAGCCTAATTTAACGAGCACGAGGCTCTGATACCAATT